GGGGTGAGCGCTGCCCGCAGCACCCCCACCCCAGGTACCCTACAGGGAGGCAGCAGGGTCCTGTCCCCCTTGTACCTGCACAGAGAAGCAGCCCAGGGCCGGCACACGCTGCGTGCCAGGAACGAGCTCCCACATCCTCCCTCAGGCAGCATCTCTCGTCCCCACCATGTGCCCGGCACAGGGGCAATGCAGGGTAGTGGAGGGCAGGCAGGCCACAGGCAGAGCCCTGGCACAGTTGTCCCAAGGAGCTGCAGAGCTGGTGGCCCTGGAGAAGGGCAGCTGAGTCCCAGGGACACAGCTCTGTGCAGTCACAGCAGTGTCCTGGAGCAGGGCAGGGCTGGACCTGCTCCACCGAACCTCGCCAGGGCTGCACCAGAGTAGCTAAAGGGCCCAGGGTGCCACAGCTGCACTACCCGCCTGCAGAGCCGGGGGCCAGGCATGCCTCGACCTACTGCAGTAATAGAGACACAGTCAAGATTGTGTCTTTTAGCTCTTTGCAAACCCCAGGTGCAGGCAGCAGCCCCAGCTGCAGGCAGGGCAGTGCTGAGCCAGCACAGGCACCACACAGCAGTGGTGGGGGCTCACAGGCAGGAGTGGATGGGCTGGATGTGCTGCCCAGGATGGGGTGCAACCCTGGACTGAGCTTGAGCTGCCCGGGGGAATGGAGGAGGCTTCTCCTGGAGGGGTGCTGCAGTGAGGCCAGAAGTGCAGGCAGCACTGCCAGGAGGTGAGCAGGCAGCTCCACCTCAAGAACGAAATGGGCAGAGTCAAAGGACAGACCCAACAATCAAAAACACAACTGAAAGAGCAAAGGCAGGAGCATGGGCAGGGCTGGAGCAGGGGGTGAAGAGTAAGGGTGCTCTGCTGCACCCAGGGCCAGGACAGCCAGGAGGGACAGAAAGCTCCCAGGTCTCAATGGGCTGGGGCCTGTGAACCAGCAGGTCTGGCACCAGTAAACCCTTGGGTGGCAAATAAGCCTCATACAGATGCCTGCAGGAGGGGATGTGGGCAAATGGAGCCTGAGGTGGGCAGTGTGCTGGGGGAACGCGGGGAAAATGCTGTGCTGCAGCCCCAAGACAGACCCTCAGCTGGGAGCTGGTCTTCCCAAGAAGGTAGAGCCATGTCCCACCACTGCACAGGGGTTTGGGAGAGTTGGGGACCAGCTCCCCAGGCTGAGCCACTCCAGGGGAGCCAGGCTCTGCTACCCCCTCCCACATCCAGGCTCACAGAGCAGCACGTTGGCCAGGGAAGGACAGAGCCCAGCATCCTCCTGGGGACTATCCAGGGTCCCCCAGAGCACAGGGGCACCCCTGCAGCCACAGGGAGATGGGCACTGGTCCCAGGCACTGGGACAGGCAGGTGGTTATGCTGGCAGGAGGTGCTCAGTCAGGGGACATGCAGTACCCCAAGCTCAAAGTGATGCCTGGGTGATGCCAGCTCTGTGCTCCCAGCCCAGCTCACCCAGCGGGTGGGTACAGGATATGGCAACACACTGTTCCCCTCCCTGGAGGCCACGCCCAAAACAAGAGCCACCCCAGGGTGCCAGAGCCCCAGACACACTGACCATGCTCAGCTGCAGCCATTCATTATGGGACAGAACAGGGGGACCCCACAGGCAGTGCCCTGCTCCCCCCACAGTCACACCACAAACTTGGTCTTGGTGAGGGAACCACTCTTGGTGGCTGTGTCCGCGTGGGCCTGGTACCCAATGGCCACCTTCTGTGACAGGCCCAGGTGCTCCTTGTAGACACGCCTGGAGGAGGGAAGGGGCTGTGTGAACAGGGCAGCATCTCTTCTTTGGCTCCTTGCTCAGGGACCCCATTGCCCCCAAACCTGCCCTCCCCCCCGCAAAGCTGCATTACCCGATGTGGGTGACCCCTTCCCGGTTCTCTGCTTCCCGGGTCCAGATGGCAATCTTGTCCCCCTTGGCACGGATGTTGATAACAGCCCCACACACCTCGTCGCTGTAGTCATCAAACATCTCCCCGATGAGGCACAGCAGCTGCCCAGAGGAGAAGGGAAGCCAAGACAGTCTCCCCTGAGGCTGGGCACTGTGGTGGGCGGGAATGCCACTGCTGGGACCCCCGCGGGCCAGCCTGAACGGGGCTGTACTCACCGTCTCCAGCCAGAAGCGGTCCAGCTCAGTGTGCCGCTGCTGCTTGGCCAGGGTGATAAGCCAGCGCCCGCCACGCTTGTTCTGGCTGTCCTCCCACATAGGCTCGATGCCGTCCTAGGGACGGGCCAGGTGATGGTCAGGGGTACTGAGCACCCAGCCAGGCTTCCCCTCCCACCCTATGGTTTGCCAGCCCCACTGGCACCCAGTGTGCCCCCATAGTGCTGGGTGCTGCAGGGCTCCAAAAGGAGACAGGGCTGCAGTGCAGGGGGTGTCATACCTTGAAGAGGGAGTAGTCACAGCCAGATGTGAGCTTGCTGGCAAGCTGGATGTGGCTGTACAACCTGTGCCGGGCAGAGATGAGACACAAAAGCAGGTGAGAAGAGGTGCCTCAGGGACCCCCCCAGCACCTTCCTCTGGCCCAGACCCCTCCCCCAGATAAGTCACATCACCCACCCAGGGGATACTCACGCCCAGAAGTCCTCCACAGTGCTGAACTTGGTGACAAGGCGCAGGTTTGCCTGCCACATCTTGCTCTTGTCGTTCTTGAAGAACCACAATGCCCACCTGGGGAGGGAGGCGAGATGGGAAG